AGGCCCTCCTGTCTTCCACCGTCCTCTGAAGTTGGCTCAATTTCATGTTCGTTGCATCTATGACACTGTCTAACCATCTCATCCTTTGCCGTCCCCGTCTTCTTTGACCTTCAATCTTTCCCAGCATCAGGGTCTTCTCCAGTGAGTGCTCCCTTCTCATTGGGTGGCCAAAGTATCTGAGCTTCAGTTTCATTATCTGGCCTTCCAGGGAACAGTCAGGGTTGATTTCTTTTAGGATTGACTGATTGGATCTTCTTGCAGTCCAAGGGACTCTCAAGAGTCTTCTCCAGCACCATAGTTCAAAACAATCTATTATTCGGCGCTCGGCCTTCCTTATAGTCCAACTCTCGCAGCCATACATGACTACTGGGAATACCATTGCTTTGACCATGCGGACTTTTGTTGGCAGGGTGATGTCTCTACTTTTTATCATGCTGTTGAGGTTCGCCATCCCTTTCCTCCCAAGGAGCAGGCGTCTTTTAATTTCATGACTGCTGTCACAGTCTGCGGTGATCTGGTCACAGTCTGCGGTGATTTCTTTTGTTAGGGTATCATTAAAACTGTTGGAGTTTGGTTCCTCTCCTCCTTGTGTCTTGTTTCAAAGTTACCAATGCCTTATGGTGGAGCAGGCGCAGCTACGAAGGGCATTTCCATGTGTCGTCGTCTTTGCAGTCGTGTTACGGGTATGTCCTGCCTCTGCGGATCTAAGGAACAACTGCCTCGACCTTCCTGATCCGGAGGAAATCGTAATTTGTAAGCAGTAGGCATGTGGTCCTGCATGCGCTTTAGCCCTTGCATGAGTTTGGCACGTAGCTCCTCTGTTCTGTAAACTTGGCTTGCGCTGGTGCTTCTTCTAAACATTGTGAGAAGTTACTAACCATTGTTAGTAGTGATACCTGAAAATTAGTTTCTCAGTGTGTGGCGTGTCTGCATGTGTGCTACTAGTATTTACCCTTACACGGGTGCTAATCCAAAACTACTTAATACTGCCTAATAAAGCATAGCCACATCCACATGGCTTGCCCCAGCTCTGACTTCTCTTGGTTTACCATGCCGTTGAAAGGGTGGCAATACCAACCAGGCCCTGCCCTGGATGGCCCAGGCTTGGCCCAGGCTTGGCCCTGGTTAGCACTTGGTTGGGAGACCGTCAAGGAAACTCAAGGTCGATCTGCAGAGGCAGGTGATGGTCAACCTCCTCTGTCCCTCTCTTGCCTTGGAAACCCTATGGGACTGCTGCAAGTCAGCTCTGACTTGACGGCACTTTCTGCCACCAACAACCAGTGCAGTAATGTAGGGAGCAACCTTGCATGGATCTCCAGCTCGCTGTGGGTCTCCAGGTACAGTGCCTCTCTGACCCACCGTTTTCTTTCTACCGTGTATGGCAGCTTGGGAGGTGGAATGGAATCTGAGAAATGCGTGTGTCTGTTCAAGAGCCAGTTTGGTGTAGTGGTTAAGTGCGCGGACTCTAATCTGGGAGAACCGGGTTTGACTCCCCACTACTCCACTTGCACCTGCTGATGTGACCTTGGGTCAGTCATAAGCTCTGGCACAGCTGTCCTTGAAAAAGAGCAGTTTGTGTCAGAGCTCTCTCAGCCCCACCTGCCTCACAGGGTGTCTGTTGTGGGGAGGGGAAGGGAAAGGCGTTTCTAAGCCACTCTGAGACTCCAAGTGAAGGGCGGGGTATAAATCCAATCTCTTCTTCTTCTTCTTCT